GGTTAGGCCAGGCGAACCAACCTCACATTCCGTTCTGTGGAGTTCACTGGTAGAAGAATCCAGAAGCCCAGCCTCTAAGTCTCACGCAGCACAGGGCAGGAGAAGGCTAGAGCTCAAAGTTGCCATGCATCTGCCGGCTACTGTTTGTCCAATTTTATTCACACGTTTTCTCCCATCATTGTTTCTCCTCGAAGTGTTCCTATTCTAGCTGGCTTCAGGGTGGGAAGAAGGTGGCAGTGGTTCAAATATGCCTTCTGTTGGCTTGCTGTCACTGCCAAGGGATCTCAGGACTGTGTCCATGTGGGGAGCTGCAGCCACAGTCTGGGCAGAGAAAAGTCTAAGAAGGTGCATGCCAGCCAGAGTACTTGGCCTTCAGGAGTGGATGAGCAGGAAGTTTCAACAGGTGGACAGCAGAACTGCCAGCCTGAAAGGGGAGAGCCTGCCAGAGGCTGGGGAGTCTACAAGCTGCCAAAACATGTGCACAAAAAGGAACACAAGGCAACCGACTACTGAGCCAGAGGGACACCTATACTCTGGCTCTCCGTACTTGACATCAAATAATATTAATTAAGGGTCTAAATCGCACATCACATTTAATAGTGCTTCAGGGATTGTTCAAAAATCACTTTCACATGCATCACTTCTTTGGACCCTCAAAAGCACTCTGCAACATGCACAGGGCAACTACTTATCCCCTCCACTTGTATGACGCTAGGGAGGAAACACAATTTTTTTCTAAGGTCCATCGTGATTTAATATTTTCAATAACTTCACTGCAACAAAACTGTCTTTATTTCCTCATTTGAAGGCAACACAAATGCAGATCTATACAGCCCAAGATAGATGGAAGGGAATGAAGCAGTCTAAAGGAGCCCTCTGAATGCGACTGCAGGGTAACAATGAAAGGGGGTGCATATACAGACTTTCTTCTGGAGTGCTGGTAGAGCAAGAAGGGCCATGACTACCTTTTTAGGATTCAGAGAACTACTTCTAATTTGATCTGAACAAGGACCACTTCCCTAATGGAAAAGACAGAGTCCATCAGACGTGAGAAATTACCTTCCAACTTGACAGGCTTTGCCGCTTGTCAAATTCATTAGATGATCTCTTTACGTTTCTCCCCTAAAATCAAAACTTTCCACTGAGGCTGCAATTCTATCCCAAAGTTCTGTTAAGACTGATAACGAAGAGTCCACTGGACTAAATGAGATTGGTAGGTTAAAAAAAAAAAAATCCTGTGGAACATTTCACTGCCATCACACATAGGGAAGCACCACATTCAAGGATTAAGCATAAGGCATAATTTATTATGCTGATTATTGTTTTTTTAAATAACCATGGTAGAGGCAATTAACTTTTTCTTGGAGCCATCTATGTCTTTTTTATATTCTCTTGCAAGAAAAATGTATTTTAAATTCACAAACGAATTATATTAAATGAAGTATAAAGTGACACATTTCCAGGTACTCACTGATCCTTCAGAACTACAATGTGAAGATAATGCTATGGGTCACAATATATTATGACCTAAAATTAGATTCCACAAGTGAAGGACAGATGCATCTCTCTGCATACCCATCAGAGACTCCATCTTCATGATTCACAATTCATTCATTTCATATCTGAAGTGCCACTGCACGACAGCTGTTCTCAGTATAAACTTCCCTGCATTGCAAAGAAGACCTAGTTTCTTAATAGTTACACTGACAATGTCCAGGCCATGTAGGAGTAGGCAAGTAATTCTTCCAATGTTAACTTTGTTAGGCAAGGACAATATGTTGGCCCGGGGAAATGACAGAGGAAATTTTAGGTAAAAATATGAACAGAATTATTACTTTATAATTTGCAAATGCACAAGGGAACTTTGCTTTTAATTACATCATTTAATTTTCTTTTTATCCAATTTACTGGTGTGGATTCTAAAATTCTAGTTTGTGAATTTTATGCTTTTTTTTTTTTCCAGGCTCATTCTCAACAGGTTGCCCGCAGTTAAAAGCTAAAATATCATTAAAAGACATCCACACCTTTACCACACTGTACCTTAAACAACACATTTTCTTTCAGTAAGAAAGTAAATCATTTGTCTTTATAAGGAAAAGAAAATGGGTGCATCCTCAAGAACTCAGCAAGCTTAATCATCTTCAGAAATAAATAATACTTTTGAGGTGATATTCCCCTTTTTCCCCAAAAGAAGAGTGATGTGCATCCACACATCTCTCTAACTTCAAAGTTTCCTAAATAAGTTTAAATGTAGGTTTAATGCAGAACTACTCTTATAACGCTCTCAGTCTTTCTCTGTATGTCAACCAATTCCGCAAATTTTCCAAACTAAACTTTTCTCTTACAATAATTTTCCGTGCAAAAGGTATTCATTGCCAAGGATTTTTCAAAATCTCTTTATTTCATTTTCTTTTTTAAATATCAAGTCTATTTGAATAAATATTATTTGATGTCATTTACATAAATGGCACTTTAATATTACTACTTTCCTGTTAAATTCAATCTCAGAGCACCCCCCAGCTTATAGAAACAGTCTAAATCACATCTACAACATAAATGATTTTAATTTAGTAATTTAAGATAAAGTTATATCCCATATGGAAACCCTTTTAAAAATGACATGCTTTCTAACTCAACAATAGCTAATTATATATTAAGCTGATTGAGACAAACCATGTAAACAAAACCTCAAGATACGCAATTCAGTGATAGGATTCTGTGGCATGCTGACTGCACGCTGGAGAAGTAGGCATGTTCTACGTGTTCTTCGCAATACCAGCTCCCCTAACAAGAGGGTGCACCCCACGCCATATATATACCCCACCACATTTGGAACAGAGAGAGCCCAATTTTTTAAAATTAATACATGACTATCACAACTTTGTCTATGTGCAAGTATTTGTTCTAGGTTCAGCTCTCCCGTTTCTTAAGTGCATTTCTTAGGCAGGGTCTCTTTCTTAAGTAAACATAGGAGCATTGTTTTAAACACAGGAAACAGTGACGAATGTTTCATGCAATTTAATGATACCACAATATGAAATTATCTAGGACCACATAATCAACAAATACACTTTAAAAAAAGGCTATTTTTCAAATAGTAACCCGGATAGACCCAAAATGGGGGATGAGGCGATCTGTTTTGCTGGAACTCGGAGGCCAAGAGAGGAATGAAAGGTCTGTGCAAAGCATACAGTGATATAACCGGTACCTTAACAACGCAAGCGCTCGGATAAATACGTTTTCCTCCTAAGAAGAGCCATCCTGTCTACACCGCAACACAGACAGCTGAGGACAGCGTGACCTTACCGCCATCAGACAGGTTCGAGTGACACTTGCAGACAAATGAGTGTTTGCGTTCTTGTGATCTGGGCAGAGGGATGCCGTTCCCAGCCCCCGCTCCCTCTGCCGCTTCCAACGCGTGTGCTGGGACAGTTGCACGCGCACACTCACACACACACACACACGCGCACACACGCGCACACTCACACACACACACACACGCGCACACACACGCGCACACACACGCGCACACTCACACACACACACACACGCGCACACACGCGCACACACACGCGCGCACACACACTCGCACACACATACACTCGCGCACACTCGCACACACACGCGCGCACACACACACTCGCGCACACTCGCACACACGCGCGCACACACACGGGCACGCACACACGCGCGCACACACACTCGCGCACACACACACGCGCGCACACACTCGCACACACACACACGCGCACACACACACACACGCGCACACACACTCGCACACGCACACACACACACGCGCGCCGAACGGGACCGCAATTCCGACCCGCGCAACCCGAAGACGCGTGAACCGCCGCTCCAGTCCACCGCCTACTCCCCCTTCCCGGTCTAAAAACGCGCAGAAGTTGACCCGGCGGCGAGAGGCTGTTCCGTGGGTCCAGGGGGGAGGTCCGGGCCGTCCGACGGCTGCCGCCCCGCAGGTGTGGGCGCTGGGTCGGTCAGGGCGGCCCCGGGCACCCACCTCCACCCGGCGCCGCGCGAAGTGTCCGACTCGCCTCTTCGCGCCCTCACGTGCGGCGCGAACTGTCCGCCCCGTTTCGGGGCTGCCGGGCGCCTGCCGTAGCCTTCCTGAGAGCGTCGTCGGGGCATCACGCGGGGGAGGCCACAGGCACACGCACGGACACGCACGGACACACACGGACACGCACGGACACGGACACCGCGCGCCGGGCACCGGCTCTGGCCCCGACGCTCCGGTCCTCGCTCGCATCCCGCGGTCCGGGGGAGGATCCACGCGCAGGGGAGCCGGGCGGGGCGTCCCGAGCCCCCTCCGGCCGCCGCCCCGGGTTCCGGGCGCTCGGTCCCCCCGGCCCGCCCCCCCCCCCGGCCCCCGGCCCCGGGCTGCGGCTCGGCACGAGGCCGCGCTGTCCCGACGCAAGTTTCCGACACACCCCCGAGGCCCGCCGACCGGCTCTCCGCGGCCTCTCCGGCGCCCTCCGTGCGTTCCCCAAAGCAAAGGCGCCCCCTGCCCGGGCCGAAAACTTTTCCGTCGCCTCCCGGCGCACTCGGGCAAGAGGCCGGGTCCCGCTTCCGCCGCCCCTTCGCCCCGCGCGGCTGGCGGGCGCAGCCGTTACCTGCCCGCTGCGCTCCGGGGGCGTCCCGCCCGGGGACCGCGTGTCCCGCCGCCCGCGCGCGCTCGGAGCCGCCCTCCGGTGTCGGCACGTCCCGGCAGGAGCGAGGCGGGCGCTGGGGACGGCTCCGGGGTGCAGAGCGCTCCGCCCGCGGGCAGCTGCGGCCGCGTCACAGGCCGCCCCCGGCGGGCCCGGCACCTGCCCGAGAGGCAGCGCCGCGGGCTCGGGCTCGGGCTCCGGCTCGGGCTCCCGCTCGGGCTCCCGCTCGGGCTCCCGCTCCGGCCCCCGCTCCGGCCCCCGCTCCCGCTCCCGCTCCGCGCGCCGCCCCCGCGCCTGGGCTCCCCGGGCTCCCCGCGCTCCGGCCCTCACCGTTCACGTCGCCGTCGCCGTCGCCGTCCGCACTCTCCCTTCTCTCTTTCCGCCTCCTTTATCCTCGGTTCTGCTTTCCCAGCAGCAGACGGCAGACGCTCCGAGGGGAGGAGGCTCCCCCGTCCCCGCGAACTCCTCCTCTGCCTGGCGGTGGCGGTCGTGGCTGCCGCCGCCGCCGCCGCCGCCGCCGCTCCTCCTCCTCCCCCTCCTCCCCCTCCTCCTCCTCCCCCTCCTCCCGGGCTCCTCCCGGGCTCCTCCCCCCAGGCCCGCCGGCCCCGGGCGCACCGTGCAGGCCGCCTGCCGAGCCGCAACCCCGCCCGGCCGCGGAGCCTGCCCAGCCGCCCTGCTGCGCCCCGCTCGGCCCCCGCGTGCGGACTCGGCCCCCGCGTGCGGCTCCGCTGGCCGCTGCGCCGGGGGGGGGGGGGGGGGGGGGCGGGGGCGGGGGGCTGCGGTGCGGGAGCCCCGAGGCCGCGTCCTGCGCCCCGGTGTTGGCGGGTGGTGCTGCCGTGTGCCCCCCTAAACTGCTCTGCCTGGACCGCTCTGACGGCGTAAAGGACGCGCCTTCTCGGGCACGACTGTTGCTGACACGACCCCGCTCCGTGACCGTGTCCCTGACTCAGTTGCGGACCTTTCCTTGCAAGCAGCCTGATGCTGGCTTTTTTTTTTTTTTTTTTTTTTTTGTCATTCCTTCGGGAGAGTCTCTTCCTGCAGAACAATGTAGTAGAGAGAGCATGACGGACCTGGCTTTTCCTCTTCCAGAAACTGGCACCTGAGGACTAAACGAGAAACACGCATTTTAGAAGACGCACACGCGCGTGCGCGAGCACACGCACCTTTTTTTTTTTTTTTTTTTATCAGAAGATAAAACGTCCGATCTTGCTGGCCGGGCTTTTAAATTTTCTGTGTGACCCGAGAGGGATGAGAAGCTACAAGAGAGAAAGAAGGAAAGAAAAAGAGAGTAGGAGGTGGGGAGGGAGGAGGAACGTCTTACTATAGTGCTTTCAGCTAACTAAATAAGGGAAAAGTGGAAAGATGCCAAAGTTGCAGACATACCAACAAGGCTGCTCCACAGCGTTCTGGAGGTTTTTCAAAGATCCTGTAAGGAACAATTACAGGATAATGACATATAGAAGGACGAAGACGGTAACTGTGACTCTGGGGGGGGGGCAATAAAGCAAGTTAGAGCATGGTACGAAATGAAACTTTTGATGATATGGGAAGAGGCAAAATGATTTTGGTAATCTATTTGGAGCAGGAAAATAAACAGGAAAAGAGCTCTTTGAGAAAATAAGTCAAGAGAGAAAGAGAAGTACACAAATTCCATTCTGAGTCTATGTATTATCTTTTAGGTATGACTGTCTTTAGGAGAGAAGACCCTAGATATTGTTTGGAGACAATTAAGATCACAATAGGAAAAATCTAGTGAGAAAGCATGTGGCTACTCAAATCCAAATATCCAAGCTCCTGAATTACATCTGGAATGATAATACCTATTAATATAATAGCCATCTTGTTTGGAAACCTCTCAGGTGGAAATATAATAGCCTTCATTTCCCTAATCTTCAAAGCAAACATTCAAAAAAGGTATTTTACTCCCATTTAATAAAGGAGGACAGAAATTTAAAGGACTAGACAAATTGCCCATTAGGTAGCTAGTAGGATGATTATAAATTCAAATTTAAGATATCTTTTCCATTGCATAAAATGGCTATTTGCCTGTGGAAACGGGAGTACTTTTGATAATATTTGGTAAATCCATAAACAACATACAGGAGGCCAGAAGAATGGGCATATAAAAATATCCCAACTTTTTTAAAGGTAGATTCTTTTATCTATATAAGAGAACTGTATAGATAGCTCACTAGCTATGTACTGATTAAGTGTCAGATGGATTACTGACAATATTCTAGAGAAGATCATGAAATAAATCATTTGCCAGTGGTTTGAAAACAAAATAACTACGATTAATGAAAATGTTTTATCAGACTTGCTTCAGTTTTTTCTTTCTTCATTAAACTCATGAACCCAGTTCTAGCTAACTTTCTCATTATTTCTATGGACAAGGTAAGTGTAAATTGTATGTGAACATTGAACCATCTGAAACTAACAGTTTGGCAGAGCTTCCCCAAGTGTCTTGGTAAGTATATTCCTGCTAGATCACAGTAGTGTTTGATGTTGACCTTGGTGCCCTATTGTTCAGCAAATTTATCAGATTTATCTATCATCTATCTATCTACCTACCTACCTACCTCTCTATCTAGAATATACAGAATTATATATAAATGGCATTATCTATATTAAATTATATATATTTGTATATATGGAAAATATAAAAGGGTTACTTATTAGATTTGAGAATGAACCAAATTAAGTGCAGCAATAATTTATAAGATGCTAAAAGTCAACCCCAGAGATCTTTACTTCAGATGTTGATGTAAATAAAGCAAAGGAGAGGGATCCCTGGGTGGCGCAGCGGTTTAGCGCCTGCCTTTGGCCCAGGGCGCGATCCTGGAGACCCGGGATCGAATCCCACGTCCGGCTCCTGGTGCATGGAGCCTGCTTCTTCCTCTGCCTGTGTCTCTGCCTCTCTCTCTCTCTGTGACTATCATAAATAAATTTAAAAAAAAAAAAAAAAAAGGAGAGAAACCAGAGATAAAATACATTTTGAAATCTTAACTTTTAGGTTTGTTTAAACACACACACACACACACACACACACACGATGAGGTGTCTGGCTGGCTCAGTTGGTAGAACATGAGACTCTTGATCTCAGGGGTGTGAGTTTGAGCCTCACTTGGTCCTGGTGCCTACTTAAAAATAAACAAACAAAAATCACATACACAAAGGATAGACATAAGATTTATTCATGTATTCAATTATTAAATAAGATGGGGGAGGGCTGGGTGACTCAGTTGATTGTGTCCTTTCAGCTCAGGTCTTGATCTCAGGGTCCTGGGATTGGAGCCCCATGAGGCACTCCCTGCACAGCCAGAGTCTGCTTCTCCCTCCCCCTCTCTCCCTCTCCAAGCTTGTTCTGGCTCTCAAATAAGTAAGTAAGTAAGTAAATAAATAAATAAATAAATAAATAAATAAAATCTTTAAAAAAGACTGGCTATGGACAAGACAGCTAATAGCACACTTACCCTTTTACCATAAAATAACTACAAAACCTGGAAAAATATATAAAACTACATTTTCAGCTATTAACAGCAACCAACACAGGGCTGAAACCTTTGAGTGGAGGCACTGGAGGAGTCATTCTCCCAGATTCTTTCCTATAGGCCATGCCTCACCCCTCCTGCCAGCAGAATCGCCAGGAGGTCCAGTTCAAGATGGCTAAGTAGGAAGCTCCTAAGCTCACCTCCTCCCACAGAACCACTGAATTCAGTTATATGCGGAATCATTTCCTCCCAGAAAGACCTCAAAACTAGCAGAACAACCCCTTGGCATCAGCCAATGAGAGAGCCCACGGTCACAGGTAGGACGGGCAGTCTCAGCGTAAGCACCACCCCACCCCCTGCACAGGCCTGCGAGTGGGAGGTAATTCAAACCTTGAAGCTTCTCCCTGAGGAGCCAAAGGTGCCTCTTTCTCTTTGGGTACCCCAAGTTTAAGACCAGCACCTGAAAGGTGAGGCCCCAGAACAGGTGGCTTTGCAGACCATTGGAGCCCCCACCCAGGAGCAGGAACAGGAGGTGCAGGGTGCACTCTTGCCAACTGAAGAGCCAGTTATTAAGGGTTCCCTCAGACGCCCCCATCCTGGGCCCAGCGCAGAAGCTGCCCTTTTGCAAAGTGCCCAGACTTTCTGAGAAAGGGACTCATTTGGTCATTTAAATTTATTTATTTATTTTAAGATTTTATTTATTAATTCATGAGAGACACAGAGAGAGGATCGGATCAGGTTTGTTTAGGGTAATATAGACAGATATAGCAATGTAATCAGCTATACAGCTTAATATGTTTTATAAAGAGAGTGATATAGGTGGTGATGTAGCTTACAGTAGAATTATAAAAAGGTGAGTAAAATTATCTGAGTCAGACTATGTTATGGCTAGAAGGAGGCAATGCAGGAAGAAGCAGGCTCCCTGCAGGGGAACCCCACATGGGACTGAATTCCAGGACCCCAGGATCATGACCTGAGCCAAAGACAGACACTCCACCGCTAAGCTACCCTCATTTCTTCATTGTTAAAGCAAATATTGGCTTGACACACCTAAAACACACACACTGGCCAGAAGGGCAGCCAGTGCTGAGAGATTTACAGGTGGACAGAACTGGCTGGCCCATTTTCCAGCTCTCCTCCTGTCTCACTAAAGCCAGGGGGCTGCAGGTTTCTTCTTTCTTTCTTTTCTTTCTTTCTTTCTTTCTTTCTTTCTTTCTTTCTTTCTTTCTTCTTTCTTTCCTTCCTTTCTTTCATCTTTCTTTCTTTCTCTTCTTTCCTGTTTTTCATTTTTCTTCTTTCCTTTTTTTTTTTCCTTTTTTTAAGTGGGCACCATCTTTGCACTCCCTTTCCATCTGGCTCCAGTCAGTGGGCAGCTTGCCTGGCTCTTGCTCTCCTGCACTCCAAAACTATAGGCTCTTTTGCAAGAAAGCCTTTATACCAGTCCTGCATTCTGGTTTTTGCGTCTGGTGCCCCAGGTTTTTGCACACTTCTGCTAATGATATGACCATACTGTGCATCACACTTATTGTAGCATCTTAATACATTAAATATGTTATTTCTGTTATTATAATCTCTTGATAAAGCTCCTTTGGTAGAGGTGAAAACAGGCTCACATGGACACGAATGTCTTGTTAAATATGACAGACGGGAATAGATGGCAGAAGTTGGATTCATATGTTCCATCCCCACCCCCCAATCACACAGTGATAATTTCTGCCTACAAATAATAACATTGTGGTGATGATGGAACAGTTGTGCTTAAGTGAAACAAAGTGAAACAAAACTTTATGATCCCATTGCTGGAGCCAATTCAAGGTCGTAGTCTTAAGAAAATAAAGTATGGTTGAAAAGAACTCGAAAGTATATATGAATAAACCCTATGAAGGCCTCTATATAAACTTCTAAGATAATGGCAGTTGGGCTTGTGGCTGCCCAAGACAAGTCTCCTATATAAATCCCTTGGCTTTATATCCCTTAAACCTGCCACCTACCAATCTGGAGTGT